ACTTTCTTTTGGTCTCCGATGATTCTTCAATGGCGAGATATTCGAATCTCGCCATTTTTTTTTCCGCGTTCCGTTTCATTAGTGAGTCACTGTATCTTCGGAAATCTGGAACCAATTTAAAATTATTTTCGATAGGATTATGGCAGAAAAAGCGTGTTCTTTAGATGATATGTGTGGTATTGTGGCCGCCGATATTCTTAATCTTGGGGTGGGACAACTTAGTAGAGATATAATCAAAAATTATTATCGTAGAATTAATGATTTAAAGGGTAGCAAATTAGATAAAATAGGTACTTGGATCGATAGTAAAACATTTACACGTAATAGTGAGTAGTGAGATGGGACCGCCAATTTTTACTATGTAAAAGGTCTAGGGGCCGGCGTGTTTCCTCCCTTTAAACGAGATCTACTCAATCGTTTATGATTTGACCTTTAATTTACAAGATACTTGAGCAAGTTCGAAGCAAACATGTCTCAATTGGTGGTGCAGACGTTGCTAAAGTCGCTCACCTGGTGCTCGACAAAAATGTGCTCATTCCTTGTCTCGGTAAAGAATTAGCTTTCAGCTTCACACACGGAATATAAGCGTTGATCGATAGCCTATACATTTGTTATTTTGTTGAGTTTGTTCTTGTCAAAGGATAAAACGTATTTAAATATAATAAAGAAACATCCACCGCTCCGCCGTCAGGCTGACAGGCGCGGGACACGGTGGCCTACCTTTACGTGCAGAACGTTCACCGTCAGGCTGACAGGCATGAAGTCGTTTTGCACGTACCTCTACCACACCACCGTCAAGCTGGCAGGCATGAATGTGGTAGGCGACTGCAAGGAAGAGGTCACCGTCAAGCTGACAGGCATGATAGTCTCCCCTTGCACTTCCAGCGCAGCTTGCCGTCAGGCTGACAGGCGCAAGTTGCGTGGGCAAAATACAAGTTCTGAAAGATAGTAATAGATGATCGTCTGATTATCATTGTATTATCATGTTGGCCATAAAAATCAAAACATTAAAACGCGACGGTTTCCGTTTCCCTAATCCCCCTAGTACTAACGCGTTTTCATCCTTGACACTGCCATGTCTGAGATTATCAGAGAACCACGACTAGAAGCAACCAAATTCTTCAAGTATCAGATAGACAAGAATGCACGTTGCATTCACGAATTTTTTAAGAGTGTCTCTGCCTCACAGTGGTCACTAAGTGCCTTTGTCAAGTACATTGCTGAGTTGGAGACTGGGCTGAATTTTGAACAACTCTTCAAAGTGTTTGCTAAAAGTTTGGATCAAATTCATGTGTTACTTGTTGTTCCAGTTTGTGTTCGAACATTTGCTCAAACCTATTTGGAATGGCTGGGGGTACGTGATTATTAATTCCTAGACTTTTATGACATGCATACTGATATTCGTCGTTTCAGACGTGCACGGGCAAGGCAATAGTCAACGAATGCAGAGAATATTTTTTCGCTAAAGTGACGTTGCAAGAAAAAACTGAACTAAAAGACGTATTCAAAGTATGTTGATGAGTACAATACGTTGCATAATACATAATGATGCTCATGTAATTTTTTATAGGATACGGTGAATGTTACTGCGCAAGCGGAGGCATACCGCGCATATATCACTGCACCAGCTGTGCCAACAAAGTCAAGCACATCCTTCTCGGAAGATCAACTCTCGGAGTACCACACTCAGCAAACAGACGGGACATACACAGGTGATGAATCTGACCGGGGTACTGACGAAGATGTTCAAGAAAGGGTTAGTTGATTTCCTTTGAATTCAATGATTCGTATTGACATTGCATGTTACTATTGCTCTGTTTTTGAGATCAATATTGAAATAACTCTGTGTGTCTTTATAGCACAATGATAAGGTAGACGAAGAATTAATAGAAGCTTCCATAGAGAAAAAGCGAAAAGATGAGGATGACGTGACATCGACACCACCCACAAAAAGGGTAACGACACAACTTTAGCGGTGTTTTTCACACTAGTTCACGTGTTTACATTGGTTGAAAATAACTGATATATATCAATTTTTAATTCAGTCTTACTCACGTTATGAATCACCGTCGCTAACAACTGACCCTCATCTTCAACACGAACAGACTCAACAGGCACATATTCCCGAACGACATATTATTACTCTGGAAAATGAAGAGGAAAAAGAGAATTATCTTTATGATACTTTCCCGGTTCACATTCATAAACGACCTGAACCAAATCCTTTTCTAGTTGGAAATCAGAATGACCATAATATAGACGAAGAGGGTGATGAATTCAATGCAAATTTAACTATTGTCGGTGGGAAAAGCACCGATTGGATTATTAGTGGGATTAATATCAGAGAAAAGCTAACAAATTATCAACTTGCAGTAAATCCACCTAAAACCCATCCAGAATATTATGACATTATTTTTTTCAATTTAAATGACGAAGACGGTTTCCTAAGAACGTTAGACAAAGGTATTGTTGCGCAGATGCGTAAGGAAATAAAGATGGCAGAAGTAGACTCAAAGAACCAAGAGATTAAATTATTTATGAAAAATATTATTGATCGCGATATTAAGAAGACTAAAGAAAATCTTAATCATCGAAATGCTGAAACAATTGACTCATTTGAAAAGAGGTTCACGTTGCATTTTGTGAGCCATATGTAAATATATTTATTTGATTATTTGATTCACCGAGAAGTGTGATAAGACTAAATGAAACCTACCTTATATAGGGTAAAAGTGATGGAAGATGTGAATTTGTTCCATGATCCTATGTCCGAGGGGACCTATATCGTAAAAGTTCTGGCACCCATTCTTGATTACTTCTTTGACAAAAAGAAAAAAGATTGGCGTGTTTCATATGGAGAAACTTGCCTCAAGGCATGTGCGAAAGATGTTAATTCCAGTAAAAAAGATGATGAATGCCGATCTTCAGGAAAAAAGATTGATACAATTATTTGTATGAGAGAAGAAGATAAAGAGTTCTCAGTAACAGAAGTCAGTGGGCCCCCACTGAAAAATGATTGGACACACTTCATGGGTGATCGTATGAAGATCATGAAGATGTTGAAAACTTTAATGAATCAATTCGCCAAACTCAATCCAAGCTCCGATATCACATTAATCAGATTATTTGGGTTACAAGCTTATTGTAAGTTTTTAATATTTTTTGTATATTATTGTTATTATGCATTGCTAACTCTTATGTTTTTTATAGTAAATGAGTTGACTATATACGAATTCAAACTAAAATATACCGAGGTTTACACTACAGAAGCAATACTGACATTTCCTCTACCTAAAACATGGGCAGATATGGTGAATGCTGATAAAGCTATAATGGGCTTGTTGAAGTATGAGGTTCGTATAAACGGATTTCAGAAAAAGAATACGGAGAACACAAAATTAATTTTTAATTTTTTTTAAATTAGCACTTATTATCTGAAAGCTCAAAAACTATACGAGATTTTTTGTGGGCCGGTGATGATATGATTGAAGCTATTAAGATGACGACCAGAATGATTCACACTCCTGAAAGCACCGAGAAAGCTAAAAATATTAAAAGTACAAAAAAAATGAAAAAGAATTGAGTTTGGGATATTTTTCATTCTGTAAATTGAAGTTCTCAGCTATATATCTAATAATATGCCAAACATTGTATCTATATTGCATAACGGTCACAGGACATGTCTCTTCCAGTGTATTAATTAATGGATCAGCGAATGCATAAATCATTGTTACACTTATATGTTTCTTAGTAAAATGTCGAAAAACAAAATTTTTGGTTCTATCACAACATCATAATATTACAAATCCACCTATTTCATGTTATTAATTGAAATTAATTTTCAAGTTTTTTACCTTTTATTCATCTAATTATTGTTGCTATAACTGAAATATTTTTTAAAAGATCTTTGTGTAAAAGTAGTAAACTTTTCATTAATTTCAGACAATTGTACGTCATATTAGTTAAAGATCTACATTAACGGGTTAATAGGGTTAACAGTGGGTTGATTCAACTGTCACGCAAAAATAAAGGCAAATGTAATGATCAATATCATTTACATATTACGTATTATAAAAAATCACAAGAAAAATTATCTTCGCTTCTATTGCAACTACGTGACATTTATAATTAAATATAGTATTTTTATAATATTATTGCTTTCCAAAGACAAGTTTTATCACTTTATTAATACGCTTTTACAATATTCTGAGAATTCTCAAAAGGATCTTAATATTAAAAATGGCAACCATTTCTTCTGTTGGTATTGAAAGTAGTGAACACTCATATTCTTTAGAGCAAGAAGAGTTAGCAAAAGTATTGGTGATTCTGACTATATGGAATAGATCTCAAATAATGAAAATGAAATAAATAAAATTCTCGAATATGATTTTTAAGCATTTATAAGTGCAAAAAATACTGCCATATCTGATGAAGAAGATATAAACTGGAATGAAGTTGATTATAATTTTAATTCAGAAATGACATCTTTGGCAAATACAAATATCGAAAAAGAGGAAGAATTAATAATCCCAAGTATTCACAAGGAAACTTACAATTTAATGGCTTGTGTTATTGATCAGAATATTATGGATGATAAAATTAAACATTGTAATAAAATCCAAGAATTACGAAGATTAGGTCAATTATTTGGCACATGAAAAATTGATAAAATTATTATTACAAAGATTAAAAATGCATTATATATGTTGGATATTTACAAATCTCACTTCATCATAGATCAAAATAAATTAAAATAAATTATATAGTTCTAACACAAAACAGGAATGATCAGTTAATGAAAGTCTTGTAAAAAAGTGATGTTATCTTTTTTGCAATAAAAACAAAATATTTTTTAGCTAAAGACAAAATTATATGGAGTATTTATAGAAAATATGTAAATGAAATATTTAATTTCTCTGTAATATGCTATGAATTTATCCTGTATTTAATACAAATTTAATAATCACTTTAAAATCTCAAACAAATGAACAGGCATAATATATATATACAGAATATTTTCAAAAAAATGAAGGATATTTATATATATCATGGGGATCAGGAACTAAAATAAAAACTTGCATAGAAAAAAATGAGCATATCAATGATATTACAGCTGCTTTAACAATATTTACATAATAAATTTCAATATCTAATAATAAAATAGTAAAAAAAGAATTATTATTAGCTTTGATTTCTACATTAAATCTCTTTAATAAAAATAAACCATCATACATATCAAAAAATACTTCAATATTAACCTTATTTCTTATTAAAATAGTGATGCAACTTGAAAAAAGTTCAAGATTATAAAATAATAAAAGTGATAAATTTGAATTCAGTTAAATGTTTAGAATTTAGCAAATTATTAGATTTAAAAATATGACACTCACATTCAAGTCTCAAACAAAATTTAAATTACTTGAAAAATTCAAATTCTTTAAAAGAATATTATAATACTTTTCCTTCATATCTCTCTAGTTTTTTTACAGATTTAATTACTATTTTAGAAAAGAAAAAATATTTAATTATTGAACAAAAATGAAAATAACATAATTAACCATCCAAATCTTTTAATAATTTACAAGTTTCTAAAATAGTTTATTTTTTTACTTTAATTATACTTACTATTACTTTTCAAGATTGGAAAATTTGGCTTACTCAAATCATAGTTTCTTTGTGTAAAAAATTAAAACTTCTTTTAACTCTTCAAGTAATTTTATGTATAGTATATATTATCTCTTATTTATATCATTATGAGTAACATCTTGAAAAGAAATGCATGTTGGTTACATATCCAGAAGAAAAATTAATACATAATAATAATATATAGAATCTTACTATTATGAATAATATTAACTTTATAGAATAAATATTTGCATATGGAAATATATATGATTTAACTTGAAAAAACTTATATGTAATATTTTAGATAATATTTCAATTTTAATTTCTAATATGTATTGATATTACATAACTATTTAAAATAAGAAATAATTTATTTAATATATCATTTTATATACAAGAATTTGAAAAAAAATATGATAATATTTTTCAAGAACTTTTATTACATTCTATAATATTTGATACAAATAATATATATAAAAAAATTACAAAATAAAATTGAATTTAGATATAATATTTTTCTATCAAATATGATTATTCTCAAGACTAGATTATCATTAAATTCAAATAATAATATATTTATATTATATAATCTATATTTAAATAAGATCAAATTAACTAATAGATTTTTTGAAATAACTTGTAATAAAACTATTTTTAGTTCTCTTATTACTTATCATGAAAGTTATTTATATATTCATATTCTTTTAGAATAATGATATATAAATAAGAATATATATATAGTATTGATTATAACTTTTTCAGATTATGAAATCTTTAAAATAGTAGTTATATTAAAGTATATTACTTGAATAAATTAGATAATATAATGAATTATAAAGTAACCTATTGAATACTAGAATTACTTTAAACTGCTATTAAAATAGCAATTCAAAAATATAATAAATTAATAATAATTAATATTCTTAATGGAATAAATAAAGTTATAAAAGTATAGTATCTTTATTATCATTAGGCAGGCTTTTAAAAAGATTATAAAATTGAAATTCAATATGAAAATTTTAAGATGTAATTTAAGAATCTTGCTATATTTACTCCTTTTTTTCCTATTATAAAAAAATTTAATTATATATGATTAATAACTCATTTTTTGATATTTGTAAATGATAATTTTTCTTTAAAATAACTTTTTTAACAAGTTTATTCTATTAATTTAACAAAAAAAATAAATATTTAGCTTTTGATAAAGTATTAGAAATATTTGATATAAAATTTATAAAACAAACTATTAAAGAAAATCTTATTGATCAGAAAAATCTCATATTATAAATTCAATTTACTTAAATAGAAAGAGATCAATTAAATATATTAATTTTAGAATTTTTAAGTAATCTCATTATTAATTAAAACAATCATGTAATAAATAATAGAAAAAAAATACTTTAATCTTTTGCATAATAAATTACTAATGTATTTTTACTTGATGATTCTTGTAAATATTTATTATTTGAAGATATAAAAAAAATGAATTCTAATAGAATTGCAAGAATTTTTCATTCTTATAATATAAAAATTTAATAACTTAACTTAATTTTAGAATAAGATATTTATAAAATATAATTATGTAATATTAAAAGTTAATAAGCAAGAGATATTATATAATATCTATATACTAATATTCAAAAAGTCAAGAAAATAAAATTTAATATAACTAGTAATAGGAACTGCAACTAGTTATAACTTTGTTACAATTCTCTGATTGGCTGCCATAACTTTATCATAATTCTCTGATTGGCTATCGCAAGTTACAACTAATTAAGGAGTTATCTTTAATATAATTAAAATAATTAATACACAAAAACTTGATAAATCAAATAAATTAAATTTAATAATATCTATTATAGTATAATAAAAATATATCAGAAGAAAAATGATATAAGCAGAAAAATTAATACTTGTTATAATACTTGAAGATTTATTATTTAATAATCAAATAGAAAAAATATTAGTTAAACTAAATTAAATTTTATCAGATTGGACTCTAAATAGAATTAAATAATATTAAAAAAATAACAAATCAAATCACAAATATAAAATTAATAATTAAAAAGATATTAATATATATAACTTCAAGATTTTAGTTAATTATTTTATATATATAAGTTATTTATAAAGTTAAGATTCTTTTAAAAGTTTTTGAAATATTATAAAATATATTAATTAAAAGATAAATCTTATTAATATGAAGTATTAAGATTATAAAAATACTATCTGTTTAATTATAATATTATATAGTTACAATAAAAATAAAAACATATTTTTTGTAATTCTATAAT